TTGTTCTGTTGCATTTAACAATACACGTATTTTGTGATTTAGGAGTTTAGTTAAATATACGAGAAATGCATCATTTTCTGGAGGATTTAGTTGAGCTAGAAAAATATAAAGAATAAACTAGCTACAAGGTATATTATTATCATTATTCACCACATATCTTTGTCGCACGAACTAGTATACAGACTCCACGATTGTCAAAGTTTCCGAGGTAATTAAAAAGAAAAAAAATGAGACATAGAAAAGTTCTGTAGTGCGAACGGGAACAGTATGTGTAACTTAAAAATGTGTTACATTTTAATTCCATTCGTTTGACCAGCTGCGTGGCTCTCTATCGGATTATTTCAATATATTCTCATCTAAGAAAACAAAAGTAAAAATAGAAATCGATCATAAAAAGGATTACTTCACTAAGAAATCGACCAAAGATGGGAAGTAATAACCGTGATACTTGTAGGTGAGAATCGCAGGTGATAATAAAAAAGTTCTATTCACTCTAAAGAATGTTCGTTAAAATCCTAAAAAAAAGCATTTCGAAAATCTCGCTAGCAAAGGACGTTTACGGAATATTCCATGTTCGCATGTTGAGCCAATATATTTGAAATGATGACTTTATTTCAGTCCCCATAATATTTATTATGTCCCACGAAAACCTTTACAAAAACTCACGCTGTCAATGAACACGGACAAGGCTATAGGCAGCCTTAGTAGACTGGTTTGCTGTGTGAGCACTTGCTTTGTACAATATAACATCTACAGACTAAAAGATTTTCACTGTGCACTATGTCTTCCTCTATCTCTGACTGACCGTCTTCCTCTCTCTTTTTCACCTTTTCTTTATACATATATGCATACATATATACACACACACACACACACATATATATATATATATATATATATATATATATATATATATACAAGTATATGATTGGTGTATACGGAATGAATTCCAATAAACAACAATTACTATTCTTAAAAGAGTGCTCAATACAGAGTAGAGCAGATATAACAATTTATTTAAAAAATTATAGCATAAATATGTTATAAAATCACTGCAAAAATAGCCATTTTATTTCAACACCTCCGGTGTCTTATCAAGTGATGATGCTGAATGGACATTCAACATCATCACTTGAAACAAAATGCTTATTTTTGTCGTGATTTTATAACATATATATGTTATAATTTATATATATATATATATATATATATATATGTGTGTGTGTGTGTGTGTGTGTGTGTGTGTGTGTGTGTATATATATGGACATTAGAGCCATCACCCAGAGGCTACAGTCTGTTTTATGATAAACGCAATCATCAGGCCATGATATCCTTTAGCTTGAAACAGGCTGTAGCGTCTTGGTGTTGACTTCAAAGTACACTTATATATTTACATATGCTCTGTCCCTCATATTGAGCACTTTAACTTATAAATATAGCACTCTCTTTGGTAAAAAATCCTTCTTTAGTATGTTTTTCTTTAAACAAGACTGACAGAGTACTTTTCTTTAATGTTGTATTCTTGTGTGCGTCGAAAGTGTTCTATTTTGGGACTTAATGAATACAAACTTGTCCAAACGTTTGTTGGTTCCGAGCGCTTTCGGTTAAAATATTCTTAATTTCTGAATAGGGCCAGAACACTGAGGTCATGTTTTTAGTCTGTCATTGGTTGCTTTCTTATATTTTAGGGTAATCACTTTCAAGCGTTTTTTAATGTTGGTTGTACGTATAACATATGTGTTCTCGACAAGTATCTTTGTAACGTCGTTGGTAGAATTCTGATTTGGTTTATTCCTATGAAACTAGAGCAAATAAACACACAACACAAACACACACAAACACACACACACATATATGTGTGTGCGTGTGTGTGTGTGTGTACACTGATTGATAGAAAGAGAGCATTTCTTTATGAATTTATTCCGCTGTAGTAGTCAAAGATGTTTTATTTAGTTTAAAATAAATTATAATATCATTAATCATATTACTTAAACATAAATATATTTATATATGTTAGTTTTAATTGACATATACAGATACATTCTGTTGATAGGTGACACATAAATGAAGGTACAAGAAATCTTACAGAATATTACTAAAAGGAAGTGAGAGGAAAGGACTAAAAATCAAATGTAAAAGAGAAAGATGGTTGTCAGCAAAAGGGGCAGATGAAGATGCGAACTAAGAATTCAAGACGGTCAGAATGAAGTGTGTACGAAAATTAATACATTTAGAATGTCTTTTTAAAAGAGAACGGAAAATATTACACCAAAAATCGAAGTCATATTGGAAGTGCGAATGATGCCTTCCAAAAAAGCACGCAATGTATTAAGAAACGGGAAACATTTCATTATAAACAAGGATTAGAATGTTACGCGCTTATGTAATATCGGTCCTTCAATATGGCAGTGAATGCTAGGCAATCTTCTCACAGATGGAGAAAAGACATGAGACAACAGAAATGTGGTTCGATGGAACGATGTCAGTTTCATGGAATTACCATGAGAGTATGACGAAGATTTGCTGTATATTTAAAACATTTACGATACAAATAAATACTAAAGGAAAAAGAAACACTTAGAATTTGAAATAGACAACTGGAATCTCTAGTGCACATAAGGAGGAAAGTCGGCTTGGGTTATTTGACATTCAAATGATCTATTGTGCAATGAGTTTGTGTAAATGTTTGGCAGATCATGGACTATGAGGATATTAAAACGACGAAACTTATTCAGAGCTACGAAAGACATTGTTCTGTGGAAAGCCATGATAGTCATTATTCTTTAAATATATGGCACATAGAACAATATATATATATATATATATATATATATATATATATATATATATATATATATATATATATACTTACTGAGCTATCATTTATGTAATTTATAATATTCATTGAAGATGTAGCACAATATCTCCTGAGAGTTCGTATTATTTTACTGACTTATGTTTGATAAATGATTATATTTAATAACTTTTTCCGTATTATTCTTAAAAATAATTGATCAACAACATGGATTTCCAACGGGTGTGTGATTTCTTATTAATTAACTTTCTTAAAGTTTTGATTATATATATATATATATATATATATATATATATATATATATATATATATATTAATTAAAGTTGAAGGCGAACAATATATTTATATATGAAAAAGAGGAAACGATGAAATCTTAACGAACATCCTGACCAAGGTACTCTCACGGAATTTGACATTTATCTTTCGACATAGCCCCCTTTGTTGTTTACACATTTATTTTATAGACGCTTCAGTGTTTGGTTACACTTAGTGAGGAGGTTTTCATCCTCTAGGTGAAAAAGTAATCTCCAGCAGATATAATGACATCATCACGTCGATAATTTTTGGGTAACAGATGATAGATAGATTAAATTAGGGAGGATGATAAAAAAGTTAAAATCAATTGTCACGCAAAGCAGCCATTGAAAACAAAGGCTTGTTTGTAGGAGCCGTCCTGGTGAAACAGGATCCCTTTTTTCAGTTTTCTTGGACTTTTTTCTTGATAGCCTTACGTAACTGCCTCAGAAGTTTGTTATAATATGCTCCATTGATGGCGTGATCCTTTTGAAGATTGTCAAATAACACAATGCATTCTCCTTGACAAAAATCTCAGCCCATCAGATAAACTGACCTTGGGATTCTTTGGAGCAAGTGGGAATGAGTGTTTCCGTAGCATAGATTATCTCTTTGTCTCAGGCACAACATACACCATGGATAAGGAAAACAGTTGAGTCTCACTCATACAATGTACGATGTTCCCATGAAGTGATCAAATAAGGGTTCAGACGACATGGCACCTACTGAGAAGAAACCATTATCATGCCAATACATTGTTCAGAATATTATCTCCTCTCGCACGTCATATGTCAATATCATTGACTATTTATTTAATCGAACGTTGCAGGATCAACAGTCATTGGGTCTTCTTTAAGACTCTCTCTTCCCCTCCTAAATTTAGCACTGTTGATAAAGCGTCATCACCTAATATAGCAACCGTATCAGCATGAACCTCCTTGGTATCAGCTGATACCTCTTTCTTGTTACTTGTGAAGTAATCTTTGAGCTGTCAGATATCAGTTTACCTGAAGATAAACAATGCATTTACGACGAAGAAGAATGGAAATTAACGTATGCAAAGTTTCAAAGGTCTAGCGTTATTCCTTCATTATCATTTTATGAACATTTTAGCTCACCCTCGGAAAAGCAACAGAAGAAACGATGTTTTCGATCAGAGAAAGAAAGCTGAAATTTCCGAGGCACAGAATGAAGAAGGAAGTGCTTGTAAATTCAATACTCATTGTACATGACGAATGCAAAACAAACAGATGGAAACAGCGAGTTACGTATGTAATGAGCTGATGTAAATGAACTACAGTACAATGAAAAAAGTGATGATAAAAGATCAACATTTACTAAAAAAAAATAAAAAATAAAAACAGATTTTATTAAGAAGCTTGATCGTTCACATAATGAATGGGCATGACCACCTGATGCAAAACGTGTTTTCTCTTACAAAAGAAAATCATTTATTCTGATAGAATTGTTTCAATACAATAAAAATTTTGCTTACCTAGTCAAGATTTTCTACAAATACTGCTCTAATTTCCTAATGACAGTTAATGACAAAAATAATATCAATTTAGACTAAAAGATTCGCTAGGTCTCACAAAGCAGTGATATTTGAATTCATTTTATTCATCGTTTCACCCTAAATAAAGCAATAATTTAGTTTCTTTTGTTTTATGAGTTATTTAATACCGAAATCTAAATATTTTCTATGCAATTAATAATAATGGTTTAGTGATACAATCAATTTATCCCTAGCTGGCGAGGGAGTATGTCGTTTCATGCATTTCCCAAGGTTAATAGCGCTTAAAGTGAAATGAACAAAACCAAATGAAATCGAAACTCTGTTTTCCAAACTCAATTTCCGAGGCGTTATCAGTTACACCAACGCACATCCAAGCTGACAGCACCTGATATTCCCAAGCGGTCACCCAACTAGGTACTGAACAGGCTCGACGTTGCTCAACTCCTGCGATCGTACGGGGAACCGGCTTTTCAACGTGATATGGCCGTAAGCCTAAAAAGCAATAAAGCAACAAAGACGCTATGGTGGATGTTATTTTGTGTGGGATAAAATAAAAATACAACATTATTAAAGAGAGAGACAATAAAAGAACAGGATATTAAGAAGACATTTTTGAGGATCAAATTTGGCGGGAAAGTAAGAAACCGGAAGAGAGCATCAAGGGCAAAAACTTACGGTTACATATTGCAATATTAACTATAAAATGAAGTAACCATGACGCTTGTATTGTACTTAAAATTCATAAAGTCTAGGAAGATCATCAGAAGGATTACCATGAAAATATTCATAGAAAATACCCGGATACACTAAGTTACGCAGAAGGTTGAGTCGGGAGATGACTGAAACGAGATGCCATGTTAATACAGATAACATTGGAGATTCTTCTTTTTGATTTGTTATGAATCCATATTTACAGGGCAGAAATATTAAACCAGATGTGACATCAATTATCAATTTCTCATATATTGCATACACATACTTTTCTTAAAATAATATTCTTACTATCGCTTAAAGAGAATAGAATCGATAGACAATTTTAAGGTATGCTGTCAGAACATAAAAGAAGGAATTTCAGAGAATTATAATAATTATTCCAACGAAGTTTTACCTAATATCATTACTCAAAACATTTGACAAACACTATGTCAGCTTTTTTCTTATTTTCTGGGAAAATGTAACTAACAAAAGCCATGTAAAATAATAAGAAAATTCTAGTTTCTTCCACGGAAACTTTGGGTTTATTAACTGACATTCAGTTGCAAATTACCGAACATTTGCAAGCAGCAGGAAAACTCAAGTGTTGATGCTTCTGGGTTAAAATCTAATTATGCAGATTTTGATTATTTTCTCAAAAGGCTTTCATTTTTGTGTGCTGTTACTTTTATTATTTAACAAAATCCTAAAGTTTAGATCAAAGTGTACAGGTAACTGCACTGCAGATTTTACATTCAGAAATTTTGAAGCAAATTGTACTGAAAGTAATGAAATACAATGGCTACGGTTACGAGGGCGTAAGCAAATTTAATCAAAGATATAAAAATAAGTGAAGATGTGTGTGTCTTCTGTGTCTGTGTGTGTATATATATATATATATATATATATATATATATATATGTGTGTGTGTTTATACATATATATATATGTGTGTTTTTATATATATAAATATATATATGTGTGTGTGTGTGTTTATACATATATATATGTGTGTGTTTATATATATATATATATATATATATATATATGTGTGTGTGTGTGTATATATATATATATATATATATATATATATATATATATATATATATATATATCACCCACACAATGTTTAATATCTAAAAAAAATAAACCAATTCAGTTTTTACCAGGTTTTCAGATAAGGCGTTTAGTCATCCTGCCACCATTTGTTGTAGAAAACTCTTTGAATTATTCATCTAGCAAGAGAACTGGATAAAATTGTTTTCTGTTAGATCGACTCTCTTCACAAATGAGCAATGTTGAGAGGAAAAAATCATTCCGGCCTGCAGAAACGATACCAACATCATACGCTGATTTCCGTCTGCAAAACCCATTCATGAGCCATCAAGGGAACCACGAATAAGTTTAAAAAAGCGGGAATAATCAAGAGAAAAACTGAATCAGGTGGTCACAACATGAAGATGGATCAACATTTCATCTTAGAATAAAGAAGATCCAACTCAATCAATAAGACGCTTGGCACGTGAGAGAGGGATTTCAGCTTTGACCATCCAAAGAACAGTGAAAAAAGAGAAATTGTCGAAGTTAGCTCCTCCCAAAGTTCTTGATTGTTCACTAGGGCACGCTGTCCCAACACGATAAATACTGGGCAACTTCTTACCTAGCTCAATTCATTTTACTTTGCATTTTAGCGAATACGTTTAAAGGATTTGCGTTTTTGCCTACCTGTGTGAAAACGCACTGAAACACACATACAGGTAGGTTCGAACATTCATCAAAATACTAAATCTTTACGTTCCGCACAAACACAAATGTTGATACCTTTGTCCATTGTAAATTTTTTTGTTTTATGCATATATTTGTTGTATATATATATATATATATATATATATATACGTCTTGTTTGTTTTCTTTACTTTTCTTTATGGTGGATTCAATCTCTGAGTCCGCCACATTCTTTTAGTGAACCTTTTAATTCTATCAAGAGTTAAACACGTGTTCCTAATTTAACAACACAGTCTGGTATAGACTGTTAACCTCCCGACATTATTTATTTGTTTTAACTCCTGCTAACAGAAACCCAAAACTGTATATATGTACAAACTCACATTTACACACACTTTCCAAATGAGAGCCAGTCAGGAAAAAAAACAATGAAAAACCTCTTTTTTCTATCCTACTCCGCACGCCAGACATTATTAATATAAAAAAATATATATACAGCAACAAAATGTGTGATGAGATCATATAAAAGTGCAATATCACAAAATTGAAGTTCACTACAATATGTCTGTACAAAACACATTTCTCTGGCGCGGCAAATAGAATTTTTCTACAACACGAGAGAAAACAGAGAAGTCTTAATCGCCACGAGAATGACTACTAGAATAGGAAGGTTCAGCAGACAACAATACAACACTTTTTTCCCCACTGGTCTATTTGTCTAATCATTTATTTCTTTACAGCGACCCAATTTCACCCGGCAGGCATGCTTACGGTCTTATAAAATGGAAAACGCAACGCCATTTTCTACTAATCACACACTCTCTTATTCTGAAATTGAAATAGATAATGTGTGACATACCTCAGGAAACTTGCCGTCTTTCAACGATGCAAACGTAAACACCCTAAGAATTTGCAAGTACGATATTCAATCGACAATAATATAAAATTTTCTTAAGCTCTGAATCATATTTTTCGTCACAATCAGCTCAACTTTATTGCAACATTGCTTCTACACATTTTCCAGGGAGTGTGGCAGAGTTAGCACGAATATTATTACTAATAGCACCCTGATAACACACCATTGCTTCACACATGCAACTTAATTTTTCCAGAGCGTCCTATATTCAACTAGAATAACCACAGGACTCTGATAAAAGAGCACGAGCACATTTCGTCGAAGCGTTTTAACACGCATCTCTACAGACACCATTTCGTTTGAGTTCAAAAAGATAATATTGAAAACTTCCATGAACTTTTCATATATCCAGAAAATATTTCCTGTCTATTGGAATGGGTATTGTCGGACTTAACTATTCATTAATTTCCTGATTGTTCACTAGGGCAAGCTCACCATACACTATGAATAATGGGCGAATTCTTGCCTCGTTCTCTTCTTTTAACTTTGCATTTCAGTGGACACATTTAACGTATGTGATCTCTCGCAGTTATTTGCATTTTTGCCCACTTGCGGGAAAACGCCATGAAATACACATAGACGTACGTACGAACATTCATCAAAATACGAACTATTTACGTTCCTCAAAAACATAAATGCTGATGCCTTTGTCCATTGTAAATTTTGTTGTTTAATATATATATATATATATATATATATATATATATATATATATATATATATATATATATATATATATATATATATATAGTGGTCTTGTTTGTTTTCTTTTGCATTTTTTATGTTGCATTCAATATCTGAGTCCGCCATATTCTTGTAGTGGATCTTTTAATTCTAACAAGAGGTACACACGTGTTCCTAATTTAAAAGCATATAAACCTCTCTTCCGCTACAAATTCATACGCGGAACTCGTGAGGCAACTTCTTACTTCAGGACGGAAAGTTAGAATTTTATAGAGTCCGAGTATTATCTTCAATAAGTTGGAAAATGATCTTAAATAATATATATATATATATATATATATATATATATATATATATATATATATATATATATATATATATATATATATATGAATTTATTTCAATCCCTCAGTATCTTCCGATTCTTAATCTTAAATCTGGTTAATTAATGATGAAGATTTCATTTTCGTTTATGATTGATTTCATCACGATCCTTAAGTTATGAGCTCGTTTGATAGAGGAAAGACGGGGAATATAGCCGTAGATTTGGTGGATTGTTGGCTGGAGTTTCCAAGAAAGGTTTTGAGCTCTCATCTGGGGACAGGTTTTTAGTGACTCTCCATGATTCTAAGCCATACAGCAGAATCGGCTGAATAGTGTCACTGAATACCATGTTCTTGAGTTTTCTGTCCAGTTTTGATGTCCAGATATTGTGGATATCAGACTATGACATACCCTTCGTAGTTTGGAGGTTTTTCAAATCTAACGCCCTAAATCTAATCAAACGGGAATCTACTGATGGTGAAGTGTCGGGTCCAACAACATCGCAATCTCAATTTGTAAGCTGTAAAAAGCATACAATTGTCTTGAATGCAAGGACACTCGGTCCTCTAGGCCGTCTTGAAGAGCTCGCCGAGAATGCAAAATCACAATTTATAGAAATACTTGCGGTTCGAGAACACCGTGTCCACCATCTTGAACGTTCACCAAACAGGTTCTTGTTGGCTTTCTTCTTTCTTTTAGAGCCAGCGACGATCTCTAAGGAATTGATTCAATCTCTCACAGAGTAGTAGTATTTGAGCTGGAAGGCAATCTTAAACCAGCCATGATATGCGTATATAGACCCCACAGTTCCTCTCAATCCCTGGAAGTAGAAAACGTTCAAAGACTTCATGGAAGAATTCAACCACTTCAGCTCAAACATTAGCTTTATGAAGCCGAGAGATCAACTGTGGGAATTTGAGGACCCCATTGTTGAACGTGACCAGATTGATTATCTGATCTTTCTGAAAAAGTGGATGAATAGTGTTCGAGACACTAGATCCTACTCATCATTCAGCTCTGTTGGTTCTGACCATAGTGTCATCTCCGCTTAGTCTTAGATCATCCATCCGAAACAAACCACGTCCCATGAACACATTGACTGAAAGGAGGTCCCATGCAGCCAAGACCTCTAGAAAAACTTTGCTCTC